TGTTCATAGCAACCAATGGCATACTCATAGCAACATGTTTGTTTATAACAACCAGAGGTATGTTCTTAGCAACAGATTTGTTTATAGCAAACAAATATATGTTGATAAAAACCAAATACAGGATAATAGCAATAGGAGATATGTGTATAGCAACCAGTGATATTCTTTTAATAATTGTTTATAACATCCAGTAAAAATTTTTAGCTACTGGCTTAATGTTTATAGCAACCAGAGGTATATTCATAGCAACATGTTTGTTTATAGCAACCAGAGGTATGTTCTTAGCAACAGATTTGTTTATAGCAACCAAATATATGTTTATAGCAACCAAAGACATTATATCAATAGGAGATATGTGTATCGCAACCAGTGATATGCTTTTAGCATATGTAGAAATTTTTATAAGAATTAGTAAAAATGTTGCAGCAACTGATTTAATGTTTATAGCAACCAGTGATATGCTTTTAGTAATTGTATATAACATCCAGTAAAATAGTTATAGAAACTGGCTTAATGTTTATAGTAACCAGAGGTATGTTCTTAGCAACAGATTTGTTTATAGCAACCAAATATATGTTTATATCAACCAATGGTATATTCATAGCAACATGTTTGTTTATAGCATCCAGATATATGTTGATAAAAACCAAATACAGGATACTAGCAATAGGAGATATGTGTATAGCAACCAGTGATATGCTTTTAGCATATGAAGAAATTTTTATAAGAATTAGTAAAAAAGTTGTTGCAACTGGTTTAATGTTTATAGCAACCATAGGTATGTTCCTAGCAACAGATTTGTTTATAGCAACCAAATATATGTTTATATCAACCAATGGTATATTCATAGCAACATGTTTGTTTATAGCAACCAGATATATGTTGATAAAAACCAAATACAGGATAATAGCAATAGGAGATGTGTATAGCAACCAGTGATGTGCTCTTAGTAATTGTTTATAACATACAGTAAAATAGTTATAGCAACTGGCTTAATGTTTATAGCAACCAGAGGTATGTTCTTAGCAACAGATTTGTTTATAACAACCAAATATATGTTTATAGCAACCAAAATTATATCAATAGGAGATATGTGTATAGCAACCAGTGATATGCTTTTAATAAATGTTTAAAACAACCAGTAAAATAGTTATAGCAACTGGCTTAATGCGTATAGCAACCAGAGGTATGTTCTTAGCAACAGATTTGTTTATAGCAACCAAATATATGTTTATATCAACCAATGGTATATTCATAGCAACATGTTTGTTTATAGCAACCAGATATATGTTGATAAAAACCAAATACAGGATAATAGCAATAGGAGATATGTGTATAGCAACCAGTGATATGCTTTTAATAAATGTTTATAACAACCACTAAAATAGTTATAGCAACTGGCTTAATGTTTATAGCAACCATAGGTATGTTCCTAGCAACAGAATTGTTTATAGCAACCAGATATATGTTGATAAAACCAAATACATGATAATAGCAATAGGAGATATGTGTATAGCAACCAGTGATATGCTTTTAATAAATGTTTATAACAACCAGTAAAATAGTTATAGCAACTGGCTTAATGCGTATAGCAACCAGAGGTATATTCATAGCAACATGTTTGTTTATAGCAACCAGATATATGTT